CACACATTCAGTTTATAGAGTCTTACTGCAGTAATGGTTCTCCCATGCCTCCTAGGGAGACAGTGGGTCTGTCTTCTCCTCTAACTCCTAGGGAGGGTCTCCCTCCTTTTCGGTCTCCCTCCTTTTCACATATTAGAGTCTGTATTCTCCCCTCCTTCCTATGGAGACAGTGGGTCTATATTCTGCCCTCCCTCCTAGGGAAACAGTGGGTCTATATTCGCCCTTCCTCCTAGGGAAACAGTGGGTCTATATTCTCCCTCCCTTCTAGGGAAACAGTGGGTCTATATTCTCCCTCCCTTCTAGGGAAACAGTGGGTCTATATTCTCCCTCCCTTCTAGGGAAACAGTGGGTCTATATTCTGCCCTCCCTCCTAGGGAAACAGTGGGTCAATATTCTGCCTCCCTCCTAGGGAAACAATGGGTCTATATTCTGCCTCCCTCCTAAGGAAACAGCGGGTCGATATTCTGCCTCCCTCCTAGGGAAACAGTGGGTCTATATTCTCCCTACCTCCTAGGGAAACAATGGGTCTATATTCTCCCTCCCTTCTAGGAAAACAGTGGGTCGATATTCTGCCCTCCCTCCTAGGGAAACAGTGGGTCAATATTCTGCCTCCCTCCTAGGGAAACAATGGGTCTATATTCTCCCTCCCTCCTAGGGAAACAGTGGGTCTATATTCTCCCTCCCTCCTAGGGAAACAGTGGGTCGATATTCTGCCTCCCTCCTAAGGAAACAGCGGGTCGATATTCTGTCTCCCTCCTAGGGAAACAGTGGGTCTATATTCTCCCTCCCTCCTAGGGAAACAATGGGTCTATATTCTCCCTCCCTTCTAGGGAAACAGTGGGTCGATATTCTGCCTTCCTCCTAGGGAAACAGTGGGTCGATATTCTGCCTCCCTCCTAAGGAAACAGCGGGTCGATATTCTGCCTCCCTTCTAGGGAAACAGTGGGTCGATATTCTGCCTTCCTCCTAGGGAAACAGTGGGTCGATATTCTGCCTTCCTCCTAGGGAAACAGTGGGTCGATATTCTGCCTCCCTCCTAAGGAAACAGCGGGTCGATATTCTGCCTCCCTCCTATGGAAACAGTCTGAGTAACAAGGCAGGTAGTTTTTTTTTTTGTCTCTTCCAAGAATGCAGCCTGCAGGATTATCACCTCAGTTATGAGAACCAAACTGGGAGGCGCCGCAGTCAGAGGCTGGACGCTCTCATGTGGATGGAAGGTCATAGGTTCAGGTCTTGATAGAGGCCGACTTTTTCAAAAATGATGTTGGCTCCCAGGTCGACCCAGCCTTGAGTGAGTACCAGTTAAAGTACTAAGAAGTAAAAGCAGCCGGCGTGATGCTGACCACATCGCCCTTCAAGAGCCAATTGGCCTATACAATATAGGTCTCGCATTATATGCCCAACATGAGTGAAGGTGTGGAAAAGGGTCCTTTTATGAGAACCAAACACGTAGAAATCTGGGAAACCCCGCTATAACATATGAAACAGTTATATTAGGGCACTGGATGGTTACATAATCCAACAGTTACAATGGTAAAATTTCTGTCTTTGGTTAGCTGTCAGGTGGGCCACAAAACAATTCTCCTTGATCTGGTGGGCCTTGGGTGTAACTGCCTGCCAAAGCAGTGGTCACGTGTTTAAATCCTCATCAGAATCCATGACATTTCCCTGAATCCATTTTTAAGTTGCATCTGAACCTAAGTTTTTTGGGTTGGCAAGCAACCATCTTGTCAATGAACCACAGCTCAATGAATAAGCTCCATTGCTATTCTAAACATTTTTACTTCTGAGTTCTGGGGTCCCAATTATAGAGGGAGAGGGAGGGGGCAGAATATAGACCAACTGTCTCCCTAGGCGGGAGGGGAGACAACAGTCCCACTGCCTCCCTAGGCGGGAGGGGAGACAACAGACCCACTGCCTCCCTAGGCGGGAGGGGAGACAACAGTCCCACTGTCTCCCTAGGCGGGAGGGGAGACAACAGACCCACTGTCTCCCTAGGCGGGAGGGGAGACAACAGACCCACTGCATCCCTAGGTGGGAGGGGAGACAACAGTCCCACTGTCTCCCTAGGCGGGAGGGGAGACAACAGTCCCACTGCATCTGAAGAGACTTGTCGTAAAAAGGTGACAAATTAGAGGTTTGCTAGAATCAGATATGCTGAGTCAAAAGCTGAGGATATCACAGCCTAGCTTTAAACCACAACACAAAGTACCAACTGCCCTGTCTAGGGCAAATGCAGAAGAAGAAATATAACGTATATGGGCTCATTCTAAACATATATGCCTCTATGGGTACATCACCCAAACAACATTACACACATATTCCTTGTATAACAGAATCTCAAATACAGAGTACAAAATCAGACAAGATATTTTGCATGTAATCAATAAATATAAAAGTCAAAGCCAGGTGGATAGGAGGTGTGGGCTTTGAAAAAAAAAAATACATCAGCAAATTAGACTGATTAAAATTGTTAATTAAATGTATACTTAATAATGATAAAAGTCACACTACAATACACAAGATTAATATCACATTACATCATTTTAATCGCATCATTATGGTAAGCATTCCTGGAAAAAATGTAGAGATTAGTTGGCTGTTATATGAAACAAGTGCTCTGTCTGCAAGTTTAATGCACTTACAAACATCCCCCCAAAAAATTATCAAAATACTATCTGATTTTCATGGGGTTCTGCACACCTATAAACTAATCTTTTCAAAGTTAATTAAAACAGTTTGCAATCTATCAGGAAAAGAAAGCTTATACAAAAACAATTTAACTGCCCGTTGTCAAGGTTAGACGGACATATGTCACTGTTCTATAAACCCTGATATAACATCAGTACATTAACCCGATACTAAATCTACCTAACAATATGCCTACAAGTTAAACCTGATATAATATTAGTACATAAACCTGACAACATGTCTATAAACTAAACCACAACATAAAATCGTTAAGAAACCCTGATACAGTCTACAAGTTTAAATACAACATAACATATTAAGAAACTCTGATACTGTCTATAAGTTTAACCTCAATATAACATCATTAAGCAACCCTGATACTGTCAACAAGTTTAAATACAACATAACATCATTAAGCAACCCTGATACTGTCTATAAGTTTAACCTCAATATAACATCATTAAGAAACTCTGATACTGTCTACAAGTTTAACCTCAATATAGCATCATTTGGCAACCCTGATACTGTCTAGAAGTTAAACTATAAAATAACAACATTAAGCAACTCTGATACTATGTGGTTCTATGTCTACAAGTTAAACCACAAAACAACATCATTAAGTAACCCAACCCTGGTATTAACTCTACACAGTGAACTTTGAAATAACATCAGTAAGTAACCCTGGTTCTATGTCTACAAGTTAAACCACAAAACAACAGCATTAAGTAACCCAACCCTGGTATTAACCCTACAGAGTGAACTTTGAAAAAAACATCAGTAAGTAACCCTGGTTCTATGTCTACAAGTTAAACCACAAAACAACATCATTAAGTAACCCAACCCTAGTACTAAACCTACACAGTGAACTTTAAAATAACATCAGGAAGTAACCCTGGTATTAAACCTACATATTAAACCTTGAAATAGCATCAGTAACTCTGGTTCTATGTCTACAAGTTAAACCACAAAACATCATCATCAAGTAACCAAACCTTAGTTATTAAACCTACACATTAAACCTTGAAATAGCATCAGTAACTCTGGTTCTATGTCTACAAGTTAAACCACAAAACATCATCATCAAGTAACCCAACCCTAGTTATTAAACCTACACATTAAACCTTGAAATAGCATCAGTAACTCTGGTTCTATGTCTACAAGTTAAACCACAAAACATCATCATCAAGTAACCAAACCCTAGTTATTAAACCTACACATTAAACCTTGAAATAGCATCAGTAACTCTGGTTCTATGTCTACAAGTTAAACCACAAAACATCATCATCAAGTAACCCAACCCTAGTTATTAAACCTACACATTAAACCTTGAAATAGCATCAGTAACTCTGGTTCTATGTCTACAAGTTAAACCACAAAACATCATCATCAAGTAACCAAACCCTAGTTATTAAACCTACACATTAAACCTTGAAATAGCATCAGTAACCCTGGTTCTATGTAAAAGTCAAGTCAAGAACTCTTTAATGCCAACAATGCATCAGGCAGACGATGCCTCCTAGACTCACATTTGTGAAGATCAATCAGCAGTCAAAAAGCGATGTGGTAGAGCTCACGTTAGTCATCTTCACTTTGTAGGACATTCTCAGGTGCCATATTTAGGCTGGGTCGACCTGGCGGCCCAGGTGTATGACACAAATCTCGCTTGGTGCAAATCTGAACCCAAGAACTTAGGACCAGCAGACAAGCATCTAGCCACATATTCATCATCATCACCACTGTCCTGTTGTGCCGTTATATGTCACATAGGTCTCGCAGTCTATTCCTTCATTTCATTCTATCCTGTGTATCTCTTCAACATCATGGATGGAATCCGGTTCAGCCTCTTTCACCATTTTAGAGTAACCTTTTTTGGGGGGGAATCCTTGCTTCCTCAATCCTTTTATTTCCTATTTTAGTGCCTGTCTGATTATTTTCTGCTTGTTTCTTCTCAGTTGAGTTGAGCGGAGTCAAGAATTGGCATCACAACACTCTGGACATTTCCATATGTGCTCCGTCCCCATCCTCAGCAGCCAGCACAGAGTTCCAATAATAATGGTGCCAGTTGCAGTCTGGTCGTAAGTAAGGCCATCTTGCCTCTCCTCTGAGCCTTGTTTCTTCTCAGAATCTATCTAATTCAACTGTTGTTACCCACGGATGTCTATACATTTCTCTTCTACATTACCTATTACCAATGTTTTAAAGAAATTGAAGTAAAAAAATATACGTCTATGCCAATGCTCACATGTATTAAAAAAAACTAGTTTTAATATTGGCCATTTAGAAAAATATATGGGATTTGGATGCTGCAACTATTTCTCTTCGCACCATTCATTCTCCTTCCGCACCTGAAAAACACAAAACAAAGAGATTATTTAAAAACTGCCCACTTATGTATTTGTTCCTCTGCATTCAACTTTAAAAGGGAAGTTAGGACATTGTGTTGTGGTTTACAGATAGGCTGCAATATCTGTTCCATTTAATCAATATTTCTGCTTTTTAATCCAACACATCTGATTTCTACAAAGCCCCTAATCAATTATCTTTTCTGGCAGGCTTTTTGGGATGAATGAATCTGTTCTTCTCCCCCAGATAGCTCAATAAATAGGAATACAAAAGGCCAGAGGAGCTTTCCTAGCACTAGGAAATCTGTGGAGGTCAAGGGCAATTGACTGGCATTTTTCTGTCTTTCCAGGCAACAGTGCTATACTGCGCTATGTGGAGGCAGGGGACCCAGAAAACATGGTGATGACGAGTGTGACTAGCAAGACCCGCCCGCATTAAGAAGTCTTTCACAATTTTAGCATGGGATTTCCGGACCATTATTGTCAACATCTGTGTTTAGTCTATTTCTCTTATCCTTTCTGCAATCATGTTTTCCCTCATTCCCATTCTCTCCTTGATGTGCTCCATCCAAACAACACGGTTCATGGCATTTTGTTCCGAGTCAACCCAAATTGCTGAATCATTCATGTCCCGCTTGCACATATCTTAATATGGTAGTAGAGGTCGGCCTCCATATCTTCTACTTGTCTTTTAATTCACCATAGAGGATGTCCTTATGTACTCTCCCGTCCTCCATTCTCCAGGTGTGACCCAGCCACCTGAGCCTTTGTAGACTGAGCGGTGAGAAAACTGTTGTAAGACTCTTTCCAATATCTATGTTTGTGAGCTTGTCCTGCAACTTAATGCCAAGTATTCTTCTTAGGCATCGCATGGGAAAGCTATTAAGCTGTCTCTCCTAGTCAAGGGCAATCATATAACCTTATTAAGAACTGTCTGGGCATATCCAAAGATACTCTTTCTCCCTTAGAAAATGTCTCAAGATGTAGATGATGGTGTTCCAGCATCCCCCTGGTTATATGTACATTGTATAGTTCCTCCTATACATCCTTTCTCCTGTCAGATCCACACTCAGCCAGTACAGACTCAAATATTTAACTATGTCAAATCAATTCTGCTGAATGAAGCTTCTTCTTCTTCTTCTTCTTTTTCTTCTTAGCATTCACCATCTGTAAGCTCTGACAGAAAGTTCTGGTTGTGTGTCTCCTTCTGTACTTTGGTGCTGTTATGGAACTCAATTTTTCTGTGCACATTTGTCTTAAAGATCTGGTTTATTTGTATGCAGACTGGTGGTTTCTCACCACACAGAGATCCCCGAGGATCATCGGCTGAGTTATGAAGTTCATGCTTTGTGTGAGGCTCTCAACAGATGGCTGGTAGTTCTGTGGAGACTGAGACCAAGCAATATGGGATAAAACCCAGTGCAATGAAGTGGATCCTCTGAACCTCAACTTATCAGATTGGTGATCTGACTTCAAAGGAAACGCCTTTTACACCATGTCTGTTAGATGGAGTGGCTCTAATCTTTTTCCTCCAACATGGGACCTAGAACTACTAAAAAACTACAGAACATTCATGCATGCAGATTTGAACCCGGCACCAGCATTACAAAGCATGTTCACAACGCCTTAGCCACAGTTGCACACTGAAACACCTCATAATAAAATAAATAAAATATCCTTGCAGAAAACCTCCAAGCGCAAAGACATAAAGGCAGATGAAATAACACATGGAGAAGAAAATTAGAGACTAAAGTGAATAAGATGGATCAGCTTAAGAATTGTAGTATTTGCTGATGAACAGCTGCTTGTGGGGTCTACTTGGTGGCATTATAGAGGCACAAACTAGTCTTTACTTGAGACTGAAATAAAGGTCATCTCAAGTCAGATACTGCTGCAGTGTTCGCCCTGCACACATACTAGGTCATAGGGGGCTGCGTGGTCTCGAGGCATGGTGTCCGCCTCAAGTGCTAGAGGTTCCAGGTTCAATCCCCAGTAAGGGCTGGGATTTTTTCACATGGACTTCTAGTAATTCCCACCGGTCTCTGGATAGTGAGATCGGACGCCCGTGTGCATTTTTGCGCAGGTAAAAAAATCCCTTGGCATTTGGAAATCGAAAAGAGTAGCATAATGGCGCTGCCTGGGCAAAATTTAGAGTAAAAAATCTACCCAAAGTACTTCAGGATCCTCATCGGTGCTACAGAGCCAGTGCACTGTGCTGAGCTTCTTCGGACTCAAACTTGAGTTAGAAGAAGAACGGAGTACATGAGTTACTACCCAATTGCCATGATGTTGATCCAGTGTTCAAATCTCAAACCTTAAACCTCAGATCATAAGGTAGGAAGACCAGATAAAACAAGCTCTGGGCCTTTGTCCACTTAAGGACTTTTGCTTGCACATCCATTTTACAGATCAGGCTTATTTCTGTGCAGACTGTTGGTTCCTTGCCTCTCAGGCAGATGCACCCCAACCTCGAAGGACAGACCCCTAATTAGACAACACTGATGACATGCTTGTAAGGGAGGCAGTGGGTCTATTGTTGCCCCTCCCCGCCACCCACATGTGGATTATAAATTTCAACTACAATTATATTTAAACTCTTTTTCAGTGGCAAAGCAGACACAAGCAAATGCCTACCTGCTCTTCCTCTGCTGGCGTGAAATCATTCTTGATATTGAAGGTCTTTCTGATCTCCTCTGGAGACTTGCCTTTGATCATGTTGGCTACTGTCTTACAAGTGACATCCAACAACCCTTTTATGTCCAGGTAGTTGGCAGCCTGTGTGTTATCAACATTACAAGCCATTAAGTGATGTCTCTATCAGCCACACACACAATTAAAACTCGCCTTAATGGCTTTTCTACCCAGGATATTCAGGTGTGCAGGGTAATGAGCAGGATGGTAGACTGGCTGCTGCCACAACTCTGTCGTAAAAGCTCTCTGGTTTGTTAGTTAGTCGAGGTTTCAACATTCTTGAGATTGGGGTTTACCCATACTTGCTCCGTACCTGTACCAGTGTGAATCAAATGAAATGTCTCTCACTGTCGCGTTTGGAAAACTGGTGGTTAAAAAATTATTTCCAGAACAATCCAGAAATATGAGCGTGCAGTAAATGCGTATTTCAGTTGCTTGAGGTGCCAAAGCCAACAATCGCCACCAGAAATGCAGTCTGTCGTTGATTAAAGTAGTCGGGTGCGATACGTTTGTTACTATACACACGTAGAATTCTTACATAAAGTATTTCACCAGCTCTCTGGGTTTAACTCTTTCAGTCCCAAGCAAATCACCATGCATTTAACGAAGTTGTCTGGCATGTTATGCTTTTCTCAACACCTTGCACCCTACTCCCCTGTAGCTTTAACCCATTCTACTCTAGCTGTTAATTTGCTCTCTTCTGTATCATTGCATTTTTATTTGAACCCTTTCAGACCCAAACATTTATTCCTTTGAGCAGCCACTAGGTAGGAGGTAATGGGTTAAGGAAATACATGTCTGGGACCAAAAGAGTTAAGCAGACAGTGCAAGACAACAGAGTATCTACATGTGGAGAGATTGACATTGCAAGCAATGAGCAAACGGTTGAGACAATACTCAATGGTCTTGCAGAATAGACAGGCAGACTTCTGTCAGAATGCAACTGCTACCATCAGTATGGGAACTCTTCATTGGCTACTGAGGAAGGGCAGAGAGCATGTGTGGGAATGCCCTGAATGCAATTATGTAAATTCTTGATTCATTTCCTCATTCATTTATGAATGCAATACATGTAAAAAAAAAAAAAAAAAAAACTTTATAAAGAAGAATAAAGACAAAGCAGATGGCACAATATTTAATACAACAAAATTAAATCAATGCACAAAGGGCCATAGGAATTAATCCTTTTAAATGAAACAGATAACATAAACTTGATTGTTTCAACAAATCAACATAAGTAATTTACTCACCTTAACACATACACAAAAACCTTCACAAGTTTTAAAAAACAAAAATTAAGCCTTACAGGATAGCTCTGATTGAGGCTGATAGTCTGAGAAGAAAATCTATGAGAAGTAAGACGTTTGCGAGAACCGAGTGATGACTGTGAATCTGCAACCATGACCAGACTACAAGAATAACATGTTAAAGGGTGTCTGGCCAGACAATAGCACTAGGCAGGGCCAAAGAAGAATCAGAAACCAATACAGAACTGTTGTCGTCAGCCGCCACACGCTGCGAGATTTACTGAGGAGAGCATCCAAGCATTTATTGACTGAATAGTTCGACATGCAATGAGGACAATCTGTCAACTAACCATAATGCCTTTAAATACTCTTCTGAATAATTTTACCTGATTCTTCTTTCAGTCCATAATCTGTGGCATTTGTGCTCATAGCTGTCCACAACATGGTGCCTCATGACATGTTGATCATTTCTGACACAGTTACTCTTCCATGGCATGATGCTAAACCTTCCAGCATCTTTTCTCTTAGACTCTCTCTGCTTCTCTTTCCCTCCAGTTCTTCCACTGTCCATATGTACCCCAGTTTTTCTCATCTCAAGGAAAAATGTTGATTGTCTTCTTTTGATATTCTCTTTAAGAATTAATTTGTTTATCAAACTGTTTATCTGTCAATGATGTTCTCTTCAAAGGTTAAGTTGTTTATGAGACTGTTTATCTGACAATGATGTTCTCTTCAAGAGATCATTTGTTTATCAGACTGTTTATCTGTCAATGATGCTCTCTTCAAGTGTTCATCTGTTTTTCAAGCTGTTTATCTGTCAATGATGTTTTCTTCAAGAGTTCATCTGTTTATCAGACTTTATCTATCAACGATGTTCTCTTCAAGATGGAGACGGATAGAGGATATAAGTGACACCCTGGATAGGAGAATGCAAGATGTGGCAGAGCTGGTAAGAGACTGAGTTTCATTAGGGCAGACCGTGATGAGAGCAATGCTCGGCAAAGGATCCGGTATATGTTCATGATGAAAAACAGTGTGTATGAAGCCATGCAGTCAAATCACACAATATTCTCCCATACATACCAGAATTAACTCAAACAGCGTTCCCTGGTCAACCTTCAGAAACTCTGCATCCCAGGATGAAATATCATCCGTTCTTTTCTCTTTGTTCTCATCATCTTCAGGTGGAGGTGGATCGTCTTTGTGGAATGTACACCACTGGATAACTTTCTTCAGAATGGCAGAGTTGACATTTGACAATGGTACTGGCTCATCTTCGTCTTCATCCATGCCCAAGTCTAAATGAAATACCATGAGCACAATGATACAGTAATTACACAAACAACAGAACAGGAGCATTAAGTGTATTTTTGTTTCATCTAACTTCTGACTGGGGAGTCACCGTGGCAGTCGGCTAGATCCCCAAACTTTTTTCAAAAATTACCTTGGCTCCCAGGTTGACCCAGCCTTGAATGGGTATCAGGTGCAATCCCGGGAAGTAAACATGGGATGCTGATTGGTCTATAAAATATAGGTCTAGCCCTATTTGCCCTATACGCCTAAATGCGTGGAAAAGAGTTCTTTACTTTACTTGAACTTCTGACTGTTCTTCGCTATCTTGGCTGCTATCTGTTAGTTTGACTGCCCCTGAATCTCAGAAAGTTATATCCCAGATCCCTTGTTCAACCTCCAAAGAAGTTATAATTAGGGCATCTGTAATGGCTAGATCAAGTATGCACCTGGTGTAGCATGCAGTTCTGAGTGGGTCACCATCCATCAGCAGGTCCTTTACAGAATGTGGCTCTCATCACGGCACACCTGAAAGTCTCCCTTTCTCTAGCCCTATGTGCTTTCACAGCCAATGCATCTTCAACGTCTAGTATCCACTTTTGCGGAGGTCGACCTCTGCCTTGTTTTCTGGAAACTGTACCCTCCATCTCTGTTCTCTTCAGAGAACTCAACATGGTCACAAATACCTCAGCTTCTGGGACAGGATGCTGTTTATGAGCCAATTCTCCTCAGTGCTCAGATCATGTCGGATGTCTGTGTTTTTTCTTTGTCTTAGTCCACAGTATTCTAAGAATGTTTCTGTCCTGTGTGGGTAGGGCATATATCATTTCCCCAATCCAAGAAAGTTTTGCAAGGTATCCAATGGGTGCCAACCACTACGCTCGCCTACGGATCGGAAGGTCGTGGGTTTGGGTGCTGACAGAGCCAGACTTTTTTCACTTTGACTCCCAGGGTTCACCCAGTCTTGAGGGGGTACCGGGTGCAGTCCTGGGACGTAAAGGCGGTCAGCTTGATGCTAACCACATCATAACCAAAAAGCTGATTGATCTACCAAATATAGGTCTAGCCCTATATGCCCATTATGCCTAAAGACGTGGAAAGGGACCTTTAAGAAAAAACCACTAGAGAAAATCAATCAATCCTCATCGTGCCTGGGGGCACATAAGGCAGAGATAAACTGTTGCCACCCAATTCAATCCTGAGCCAACCTATCTCCAGTTTTGTCCTTCATGTAGCCTTGAGTTCAGCCTCAAAGGTTCACCTCCAAGTGCCTCTGGACCTGCCTCTTCCTAGCTGTCCTTGTGGTGTCCATTGTGTTGCCTGACTCAGCCATCACTCTTTCTTTATTCTGAGGATGTGTCCAATCCACCTTCATCTTTGTTTTTTTATTTCCAAATTTACATCTTCTAAGTCTGTCATTTGTTGTAATCTAGAATTGCTGCTTTGATCTTTCCATGTGAACAGCAACAATTTTCTGAGAAGTCTTCCCTCAAAACCTCTGAGCAAGCTCTCTATCTTTCTGTCAGTCTGTCTTCCAAGTTTCTGCTCCACAGAGAAGAACTGTCCTAATGCATGTTTTGTATATCCTGAGTTAAGTTTCAGTGCTGAGAAAGCCAGGTTTTTATAGTACACTTTAATTAACAACAGAAACATTTAAAGGGGCACATTCTGTGGTGACTAGTGTTCAAGGAGACTTCCAATCATACACCATAGATTTTTTTGGCTGAGATGGGGCTGAAATAGTTAAAAGTCTATTTCATTAGAAGCTAGTGTGGATCAACATGGATAATAAGTCCATTTCATTAGAAGCCAGTGTGGATCAACATGGATAATAAGTCCATTTCATTAGAAGCTAGTGTGGATCAACATGGATAATAAGCCCATTTCATTAGAAGCTAGTGTGGATCAACATGGATAATAAGTCCATTTCATTAGAAGCTAGTGTGGATCAACATGGATAATAAGCCCATTTCATTAGAAGCTAGTGTGGATCAACATGGATAATATTACCTTCCAACATTGTTCTGATTGTGACTGACTGTTTGACGATTTCAACATCAACAACAAAGATCTCTCCATCGGAACTATGCAGCTTTATGTTTGGCATCTGAAAATAATAACAAAAACAAAGATAACAATGTTCCTTTGATAAACGCATAAAGTAATCAACTTCTCAGACATCACTGAGATGGCAATCCAGCAAGGCAAACCCCAGAAAAGGGTTCAAAGTCAGAGTGCATCTGCCTAAGAGGAGAGTAACCAACAGTCTGCATACAAAAAAGCCAGATCTGTCAAATGGATGTGCGCACAAATATCTAATTCTGAAACAAAATCCACAAGAGGACAAAACCCAGAAGTGGATGAACAACCAAAACTCTCCCCCAGAGTTTAATCTAGCCGGTGAAGGCTAAGAAGAAGATCTGCTGGTAATCATTCTAGGCTGGGCCGCCCTGGGACTTCCCAAGTCCACTTCTAATATCTGCCTTGATGCATCTTTGATTCCATGAACACAGGAGCTGGCTATTTCTGAGTTACCACAACTCCTAAACTTTTCGGCCCAGAAACATTATAAAATAGGTGAGGACCCCGTTAAAATCCCAGAAAAATTATTTTTTTTTTAAATGTTTAAACAGGTTTGTTTGAAATGTATGTAAGCCCGGTGCTCCAGCATAGATGATAGCATGTTGGAGGTCAGGTGACAATCCCCATGGGTGTCCGGTCTCGGGATTTGATCCGGGGGATGGCAGACAAGCCGCATACTTCCCAATTCAACGGTGTTCGACGCACCGAGTCTGAAGGGCATCGATGCTCACGACACTGAGCCAAATAAGCTACGCTAAAGTGCTTCTGGATTTTTTTTTATATGTACTTAACATTTTCTAAATTTTTTCTTCAAAAAAGATACCTGAAAGGAGTAATCAGTAAACATGAACAGAGTAAAGCATTCAATGGGAGACATTCCCTGGTGAAAAAAAAAAAGCACATGAATCGAGTGACTCATACAGTGACACCATGACTTCTATCAGCTTAGTCAACGGATCAACATCAGGGCACACAGGTGTAAACCCATAAGTGCTCTGCTCTACTAACTCAAGCCTGAGTCTAAAGCAGTGCACAAACTTCACTGCACCAGCGAGGATCCTGAAATACTTTCGGGTAGATTTTTAACTCTAAATTTTGCCCGGGCAGTGCCGTTAGGTTACTCTTTTTTTATTTCCAACTGCCAAGGGATTTTTTTTTTACATGCGCAACAATACACACATGCATCCGGTCTTACTACCTAGAGACCAGGGCAAAAAACTAGAAGTACACTTGAAAAAATCCAAACACTAAGCGGGGTTTGAACCCCGGACCTCCTGCATTTGAGGAGGATGCCAAACCTCACGACTGCAGCCCCCCGCCCCCACCCCACATCTATCACTTACGAAAAACTCTTGACAACTCAGATTTTTTTTAAACCTATTTAGCTCAAAGTAAAAAGCTCCTGAATGATACTGTTACTGTATTCATATCCTGACCTTCTAAACATCTGCACAGGCATGAAAACAGCCAACAGCAGTAACTATAGACAAGTCGGAAAAGTGACATTTGTGGGGCATTGGACACAACCGGAAGTGTCAATTTTTTAGGTTCTCGGATGAAAGGTTGAACCAGAAAAAATAAAAATTGAACAAATAGAACTGTGTTCAATGTGGAGGCCCCCCCAAAAAAAAAAAACAGTGGAAAATGTTCTTATAAACTTTCAAATTCGTGAGAACAAAAAAAAAAAAAACAAAAAAAAAAAACAGATTAACACATTCCTTCTAATAGACTTTTTGGTGCCAGGAGAAACACAAAACAGGCTGACAATTTTGGAAAGGAATTATCATAGTTATGTAACAGGTCTTTAGCAAAATGTCATTATATGGTACAATGGGGGAGGGGGACATAATAACAAATCATAACACACAGAATATCATTTATATTATTACTATTACTACAACATTTCAACAAGCACAATCGCTGGAAAAAGAAAGTCTCCTGTTCATTCCCTTGCTTTGTGAAATTTTACGCCTGAGCTGTCTGATGTCCTGATCAGGCAGAAAGATGGTGTTTGATAGTGAATGAAGTAGACAAAAGAGCCTGGCAGGAAGAAACAGTTTTTTTTCTGTTTGCCAATAGTAATTTAGGAAAAATTTAGCGTACACTCTTTGATTGACATTGACATAGCTGCTTCGAGATACTAATCTAAGTGATTTTCTGTATTTGTGTGGCATTATTTTATTTATGTATGTGTTGATGAAGGCTCCATAGCCGCAACGTTCAGGTTTTGTTTGTGTGTTCATTATATTGTGAAGCTTACTGATATACTTTTCATTCGGTTTTATATCTTTTCCGGAAAAATATGTTATGTTATCCAGATGTTGGAGGTTAACTGCGACTTTCAAATGCTTTCTACCCATTCGCAGTGTAGACTCATTGTAGCGATTTTCTGAAGCATGTTCATAGAGTCTGAAACAATTAAAGCATGTGTAGCCGCTTGTTCTGCTACCCATGTGAGTGCTCTGGAAACAGCAGTGATCCCCATGGTCATGCTTGACGTTGTTGTGGTAAGCCCCGCTACCTCTTTTATTGTTTTCCCTATCCTTTGTGCTGTGTATGCCCATGCCGATCTTGATCCACGCTTCACGGACCCATTTGTGTAAATGATGACGTCTTCTGGGTGTGAATGCTGATCAATCAGTGCCCTAATCTCGACATTTATGGTAGCAGGTATTTGACTCCTGCAGTACATCCCTAGTGTTATGACAACCTTAGACAAGTCTTGCAAGTCTTCTGGTGTATCCACCCATTCTTTTCCATGACTGATCTCATCTAGGTCACATACTTGCTGGGTTAGATGTTCTGCCCCAGCCATCCAATACAAGCCTCTTTTGAGACTCATCCCTTTTATATCATTGATAGCGTTGTGCAGTGGGTGGTTGATATCTGCTGATATCATGTACGCTTTCACCTGTGCCACTTTATGTCTGGTGGCCATTGTCGATAAACCCAGGATATACCGCATGGCATGGCATAAGGTGTCTTTTGTGCAGCCGAGTATGAGTCTCATGGCTTCATTCTGTACCCGGTCTAGTCTTTCTAGCAGGGTTCTGCTAAGAGTAAGGAGGCCCAGTCTATAACACCTAATACAAGTCCCTGATAAAGCAGGAACAGTAGTCATCGTTCAATGTCGGCGTATTCCCCCAGCGCCATCAGACCTTTCCTGGCTCTAACTTTGACACTATGTGATTCTTGTATGACAAGCATCTGTCAAAAGTGAGACCAAGGTCTCTCATTGTGTTCATTCTATCGATCTCTGTACCGCATATGCTCATGACTGGCAAAGGTGTGTTGACAATGTGGGTATTCAAGGAGAACCATGTTAAGAAAGCCTTTGCCGGGTTTACCTGTGTGCTCAATTCCTGGCACCACTCACTGAGTCGATCTAATTCATGCTGTAGCATTGTAATTTCATCCCTGTTGTTTACGCGTCGGCACACAAGGATACTGTCTGCCTACGGCATTGTTTTGCCTAGACCTACTATCTGTACACTGACAAATAATGATGTGTACACATTAAAAAGAACAGAAGACAATGGTGATCCCTGGGGCAAGCCCATTCAGACAAGTTGAGGTATCGATACCCACACACTGCATCTCATCAACACTGTTCTTTCAAAGAGCGCTGCAGCAATCCAGTTGACCAATTTTTATTTATATGTGCATATCCATCCTCAGTCTGATGAGCATGTTGTATGGAATGCTGTTGTGCATGTCTTCTAAGTCAATGGCAACTGTGGCAGTTTCCATTCCTGCCACACTGCATCAAGTATCTCTGCCCGGGTGGTACCCACCTAGGGTAGGTGCCAAAAAAAAACCACTTGGCTCTAATGTTTGGGTCAACTTTCTGGCCACGATTTTCTCCATGAGTTTTCCTGCAGTGTTTTGAAGTGTGATGATTCTATAGCCATTTATTTTGTCATGATCTTCCCCAGGCTTAAGAATGGGTCTGAGGTAGCTGTAAAGCTAGTTATCAGGGACAATGCCGCTTTTAATGCTCTTGTTAAATGCCCTAGATAGTTTCCTCAAGGCATTTTAAGTCAATGTATCTTATGCCATCGGGAACTGGGGCTGTCGAGACAGGGCTTCAGTATAGTTCTGATGTTTGCAACAAAGATAAACACTGTGTCATCTTCTCCATCAATTTCAGCAATGTGCATGTTATGGACTGTTTGTTTCATCTGCTTTCTCCTGCCAATGTCTTGTCTTTTGGGTTTGCAGGAGAAATCTCTGCAGGAGTGCCTCACTTTTGTCTTTATCAGATCTTAAGATCACCCCACTGTCCATTTTTAATTCGAACATATTACACAATTGTTTGCCGCCCTTCATTCTGCAGTTGAGTCACCAGAATTTTGTGAAGGATTTTTCGTACCCTATTTCATCGCAAAATGTCTCCCATTTGGTGTGCTTAGCCTTCCTCGCAGTTTGTATAAAGTGTTCAGTGAGGTATTCTTTTCTTTCTTTCATGGCTGGCTTGTGAGCATCAGACAGTCTCGAAGACTTTCTGTATTTCTTCCATTCTTGGGTAGCAATTCGTTTCTCTGTCCATGCCCTGGCAACTTCAGGTGTCCACCATGGGGTTGTTGATACACATCTTCCTTCTTCCCCGATGTTTTGCATACCCCGTCTCGTAAACGGCCAGTTACATCAGTCTGGTATACCCCATACTTAAAAATGACATCTTGTTTCTGGCATCTTGCACATGTTTTCTTGACCAAAATCGAGCATAGAAGGTGGTCTCTTCCATGATGTCCCAGTACACCATGGAAGATGCCATTCAGCAGATTTGTCACTTTTCAAACCTTAATCTAGGAAATTAGTGGGTGCATTTGCCAACTGCTTTAAACATCAGCATCACGGTCCATATCCCCCCTCGAAATAAGCTGCAGAGAATAGATCCCTGGAATAGTGGACAATTTATTTAAAACGCTGATTGATGAGAACACAAACAACAATGATGCTGTGGTTTACAAGGATGCATTGGTCACTTGGGGCAAGCAAAGTACATAGGCGTTCACTCTGAGC